TTGGGCTGCTTTGTCGCGAAGCTGGCCGGATCCGCTCTCATTCCCCTCATCCCTCATCAGCCCTGATCACATCCGCCCTCTTCTGCGCCATGCTGCAGAGACAGCGAGGGTTTAAAGCGAGAGGGAGGATCCTTCAGAAAGCCTGCTGTCTGTCTCACTGTGCCAACACAAGCACTGCACTGTACGCTCATATTGAAGACAGAAAGATGACAGATAGATGGATGAATGGATGGATGAATGGACAGTTAGATGCATAGACAAATAGATAGATGGGTGGATGGTGGAAGACAGACAGACAGACAGACAGACAGATAGACAGACAAACAGACAAAGAGACACAGAGAGACAATAGAAGCATTGCCCAATAAAGATGGGTGAGAGATAGATAGATAGATAGACCGACAGACCAGTAGTCAGATGGACAGATAGATAGATAGACAGAAAAAACGGTAGCCAGACAGATAGATAGATAGCAAAATGGGCGGACAGATGGACGGACGGATGACAGAAAGATGAGTGATGCATAGATGGATGCATAGATGGATGGATGGATGTATGGATGGACAAACAGACACAAATAAAACTGACAGAGATACATAGACTGACAGTTACAGAGCTGCACAATAAACTCTTATTGAAGACAGACAGACAGACAGACAGACAGACCAGATAGATAGCTAAACAGATAGACTGGTAGTCAGATAGATAGATAGGTAGATAGATAGGTAGATAGATAGATAGATAGATAGATAGATAGATAGATAGATAGATAATGATGACAGAAAGATACATAGGCAGACAGTTACAGTGCTGCATCTTACAATGCTCTGTGACAAAAAATGAGCAGGTCCTGTTGACCACAATTTGTGGCGGGAAGAAAAGACTGAAGTAAGTTGAGGGCTCATTATTGGAGCACAGACAGAGCTTCAGTCACAGAGACTGCTCAGCTGTCTAGTGTTTCAGTAGGAACAGTGACCAAAGTCACATTTAAATCTATGGAAAGTACGTCAATAAATACGGTTGGAAATTTTGGTCATAAAGGGCGCATTCAGTGAGTCTTAGTGCGACATGTAAGGAAAAAGAGAAGAGCAGCTGTTGACTGAGAATGTCAATGCAGGACGTGATCAGACTGTGTCTGCAAGAACAGCTTGTCCACAACTACACAGAGCGGGATATTACAGCAGGGCTGCAGTGCATAAACCCCTCATTATGAAGATGAATGACCATTTGAGAGTTCAGTGGTGCAAAAACCACAGGCACTGGCCTCCAGAAATGTGGGAAAAAGTGACGAGTCATCCTTCACCTCATTCTCCACATGTGGGCGAGTGCATGTGCAGTATACCACAAGTGAGTTATACAAGCCTGAATGCTTGACCCCTACAGTAAGGAGGTCCGGTGGCTCTGTCATGCTGTGGCATTTTGCTGACATGGTTTGGGTCCACTTGTGTCCTTAGAGGGAAGGTTTAGTACAAGTCAATACAAAGATATTCTGATTGATCTCCTTTGTCCTTTGATGAAACGTTTCTGTCCTGATGGGAGTGGTCTTCGCAGAGCACGAAGGGTCACCGGATGGTTTGCAGAGTATGATAATAATGTAAATTATATGCCATGGGCTTCTCAGTTGCCAGATCTCAACCAAGTTGAACATCTATTTTTTATTTTTGGAGATTTTGGACTGTTGTGTTAGAGAACCATCATCAAAACACCAACTGAGGGAATGTCTTTTGGTAGAACGGTGTTCCATCCCTCCAGTGCAGTTCCAGAGACTTTATGGGTGGCCCGACAGCCTGCTAAGACACATTGTGTTGGTTTTTCCCTTAATTTGTCATCTGTCTATAGATAGATGGATAGAAATATCATATGGCCTAAAGTATGTGGACACATGACCATCACACCTATTTGAGCATCTTGGAAATCCCATTCAAAACTATGGACATTAATATAAAGATGGCCCCAAGACCTGGCTAACAATTAACATTCGAGTTTATCCCAAAGGTGTTCAGTGAGGTTGGGGTCAGGGCTCTGTGCTGGCCACTGGAGGTCCTCCATATCAAACTCATCACACCATGTCTTTATGCCTTCACCAAATTGTTCCCACAAATTTGGAAGCATATAATTGTGTAAAATGTCTTTGTGCTGCAGCATTAACATCACCCATCACTGGAACTGTGGGGCCCAAACCCTGAAAAACAGCCCAGCCCATCATCCCTCCTCCACCAAACTCTACTGTTGGCACTATGCATTCCGGTAGGTAGCGTTCTCCTGGCGTCCACCAAACCCAGACTCATCATCAGATTGCCAGATAGATAAGCGTGACTCATCACTCCAGAGAACACGTTTCCACTGCTCCAGAGTCCAGTGGTGACGTGCTTTACACCCCTCCAGTCGACACTTGGCATTGCGCATAGTGATCTTATGCTTGTGTGCAGTGGCTCGGCCACGGAGAGCCATTTAATGAAGCTTCTTGTGCAAAGTTCATGTGCTGAAGTTGCTTCCGGAGTGTGGAACTCTTCCAGAGTGTGGAACTCTGTAGTGAGCAATGCAATGTGCAACAAATGCTAGGCGATTTTTACGCATTCTGAGCTTCAGCAATCAGCAGCTTGGTGGCTGAGCTCTTCAGTATGACCCATACTACTGCCAGTGTTTGTCTATGGCGACTGCATGACTATGTGCTTGATTTATACACCTCTTTGCAATGGATGTGGCTGCAACACATACAATCAATAATTAGGAGGAGTGTCCACATAATTTTGGCCATATAGTGTAGCTAGATAGATATAGACATACACAGGATAAAATGATGCATACATACATGTACACACGTGTAAACGAATAGATGTGTGCATTCCTACACAAATTAAATTTACTACGCCTGCACAGTTATTGCCATTCATGTGGAAACTGTGTATATGAATGACTTGGACGTCCAGAGAGATTATGAGGTAGTTATAATTTTATGGATTATCTTGAGATCACAATGAATTGTCTTGCAATCTCAAGATGACAAAAGTTGTTTTCTTGAGATCACATTTTATTCTTATCATGATCTCAAGATAACAAAAGTTGTTTCCTCAAGATCACAGCTTATTTTTCTTGTGATCTCAAGATTATCAAGATTATCAAATTATCTTGAGAAAACAACTTGTTATCTAAGATCACAAGACAAATGAGTTGTGATCTTAACATAACACATTTTCTTGAGATCACAACTTATTTTTATCTCAAGATAACAAAAGCTGTTTTCTTAAAATCACAACTTATTTTTCTCGAGGTCTCAAGATAACTAGTTTGTTTTCTCAAGATCGTTACTCATTTGTCTTGCGATCTCAAGATTTTCTCGAGATCACAACTTATTTTTCTTGAGATTTCAAGATTATGAAGATTATCAAGTTATCTCAAGAAAACTTTTGTTATTTTGAGATCACAAGACAAATAAGTTGTGATCTCAACATGACATTTTCTGAAGATCACAACTTATTTTTCTCATAATCTCAAGATAACAAAAGTTTGTTTTCTCAAGTTCACGACTCAATTGTCTTGTGATCTCAAGATAACAAAAGTTGTTTTCTCGAGATCACAACGTATTTTTCTTGTGGTCTCAAAATAAGTTTTCTTGAGATCATAACTTATTTTTCTTGTAATCTCAGAATAACAAAAGTTGTTCTTGTGATCTGAAGGTAAAAGTCGTTTTCTCATGATCACAACGTATTCATCTTGTGATTTCAAGATAACAAAGGTCATTTTCTCGAGATCGTGACTTTTCCTGTGATCTTAAGTTGTCTCGAGAAAACAACATACATTATCTTGTGATCACAAGACTAATAAGTCAAGATCTCAAGATAACAGTCCAGAAAACCATATCTACCTCAAGGTTTCTCTGGACTTCCGTAAAATTGAAGTAGCATTAAATGCACCGCTGTTTTCAGCGCAGAGTGATTAATATGCTTCATCAGAGGGGGTGACAGAGTCTCCCGCACAAGCCAGTTTCTCACAGCCGACCAGCCAGGGAGAAAAAACCGCTGGAAGAGAGAGAGAGCGGTGATCTGTGCGCATATGCGACCCTGCTGGAGAGGCTGCCGGCCACCCACGGCGCGTTTCCCGCAGGGTGCCGTAAAATCAGCGCGGCTGCCTGCGCGTCCCCGTGTCGCCGTGCAGCACCGCTGTGCGCCGCTGCCCCCCCTGCTGTCGTCATGCTCTGCTCGCTGTGCTCCGCTGGAGGAGAAAAGCCCTCGCAGGAGCGCTGCCCTCTGACTGAGCGCCCTGTGCGTCCGCCAGCGCTGAGGGAACTCATTCCTCCAGGGTCAGCCAGACCGAGCGCGAGCGGCCAGACAAAGCATCAATCACTCACGCGCACATTAGCCCGAATAAACACTGCGTTTTGGGGGCCGCTTTCTGGGGGCCCCGCTGGCCGGGGCTGTGCGTGCCATTATCTGCGTGTGAATGAGTGGAGCGATGCAGTGAGAGAGGGCCGGAACGGGGAGACTGGGCGCTGGTTACGGGACCACTGATCACGTGCAGTGCGTAAAAACGTCGTTTCTCATCGGGGTTTTCGACAGCGGTGCGGTGCGGGTGGCACTGTGTGACTGTGAGCTGAACCAAGTGAGAGAGAGAGAGAGAGAGAGAGAGAGAGAGAGAGAGAGAGAGAGAGAGAGAGAGAGATCAAAATTCAATCCTGTTCTAAGAAAGCGATGACGTGGTTTTGAAAACGTGCCCAAAAAACTCCTTAATGAATAACTTAGCGAGCGGGCAGAAAGGCGCAGGCTGGCCGCAGCTGTTTCCTGCTGAAAGCGTCCTCCGTAATGTAGATAAATGTGAGGGATTTTCTCGCTAAATCCGTCTCCCCGCTCGCTAAATCTCGCTGCCCCGGGACGAGCCTGCGCAATGGAACAAAGTGGGAATATTGCGATGTGACATCGCGCGCGTCTCCGTCCTCTCTCTCTCTCTCTCTCTCTCTCTCTCTCGCTCCCCCCTCTCTCTCCCCCTCTCTCTCTCTCTTTGTTTTAATGACTTCAAACAAGTTGCTTTTCGTCGTGTGGAGACCCGCGGGGATGTCTGGCGCTCATTTCTTCCAGGGCCATCATTGGTGTGATGTCTTAAAGGTAACTTCACGCGTTTGCTTTGCATGGAAGCGAGTAGCGCGCGCTCGCTCGCTCGCTCGCGCCGGACGAGGTGACTTACTATTGAAAATCTGGGATGCACTTTTAATGCACATTTTCTTTTTTTTTTCACATTTTTTTTTCATTCATTCTTTTTGGAGAGAGTTAGAAACCAGCGAGTCATGGTGAAGTGGAGAGCTCGAGGCGCACGCTTGCAGGTTGAACGTCGTGCATGGTGGATATGGTGGAGTGGGTGCATGGTGGTGGCGGAGAGGGGGGGGGGTACGGAGAGGGGGGGGATCAAGTTTGGACACTTTTGTGGGATGCGGGAGAGGCTGGGAGGCGCGCGGTGTAGCAGCCTGCAGGGTCCGTGAAGTTACGATGCTGTGACATGTTAGGAAGCGATGCAGCGCGCGCTGCTGACTCGGCACTAACAGGGGTGCAGCATGAGGAGCCCTGCTGACCAACCCCATAGATACCATGACCAATGCCTGATTCCAAATGCATTTGATGGGGGTCTATAGTGGTCTCCTTTGGAAACCATTGAGCCAGTTCCCGTTAGAAGGCAAAACTATAAGGTCTGAATCCTAGTGGTCTCTAACCGTTCTTTTTCTGCAGGGTGGGCAAGTCGCTGGACCTGTGCGTCCAAATGTGATGCGCAAAAAGCCCCTTGTGTCTTTTTTTACGATGCAAAAGTGTTCCTCGTGTGGGTTTGGCGATCTGGGCAGCTTTCCTGACCAGCCCAGCCCACTGGTAGGTGAGGTGCGCGAGCTGCTTCACGGGGGTGCAGCGGATGCAAATGCAAGCAACGCTTGCAATAAAGAAGCCCCAATAAAGAAGCAGTTTAGAGTGCTGCAAAATGGTTCTTTAAAGGTTCTTCAGTTCTATTTATATGCTTAAATGCTTCTATATAGCGCCAACAAGGGTTCTGCTGTTGTTTCGATGAGCTTGTAACATCAGAAGAACCCTTTTTGGTGCTATACAGCACTCTTGTCAGAAAGGTTCTACGTAGAACCATCTACAGCACGTTCTCCATCAATCCGACGAGCCCTTTCACGGTGCAAAGAAACCTTTAATCATGCAAGGGGTTCTTTGAGTGTCCATGGTTCTATACAGAACCATTTTCTTTACTGACGAACTCTTGAAGAACCATCATTTTAAGTGTGCACCATGCAAAGAACTATTTAAGCATGCAAATGGTTCACTGTCTTTACTAAAGAACCCTTAAAGAACCATCATTTTTAAGAGCCAGTTTCAGGACTCGAGCTCCAGTTTGGCCAAGTTAAGGGGTTATTATTATTATTATTATGGTCATAATGCTCGTGCGCCAGCATCTCCGAGTATCTAAGCAAGAGCGTCGGCTCTTACGCGCAGGTGGGACGTGCCAAAGAACGCTGAGCTGATATCAGTGCGCATCAGGCGGACAGACGCGATGATGATGGTGACTGTGATGAATGATTGGTACCCGTGTAAGTTTTAATGACAGTGCTGAGCCTCTTGGGCAGTGCAGGCTAACTGTCCTCTCTCCTCTCCTCTCCTCGCTCTGGATGCAGTGTACCATGCGCTGCATGTCCTGCACCCACACCCTGTCGCTGGTGCTGTGCGTCCTGGCGCTGACTCCGGCGGCCGTGCAGGCGGGGCCCGAGACGCTGTGTGGGGCGGAGCTCGTGGACACGCTGCAGTTTGTGTGTGGAGACAGAGGCTTTTATTTCAGTAAGTGCACTTTTTATTTATTCATAAAGGCTTCGCTGCTCTTGCACTCCTTTACCCCTCTCCCCTCTCCCCTCTCCTCTCTCCTTCCCCAAAGCACTAATGGGAGCCTCATAAATAAATTCCTTGCTTTCCACTTTCTTTCCAAACTGCTTCCTCTTTCCTCATCCTTCATTTGCCCTGCTGCTCGTTTGGTACTCATGGTATTCAAATGCTGGTAAATGTTTAGTGAGCTGCTCGAAATCCATAGAGAATGAAAATCGTCATGCAGTGGTAGGGAATGCTCCTCTAGCCACCTTCTAATTCAGGGTCTCCAACCCTGGTCCTGGACATCTGCCTTCAGCTAATCAACCTCTTCCCAAGCCCCTGATTGGCTGGATCAGATGTATTAGAGTTAAGTAAGGGGCAGGGCAGCTTACTGGACACAGGTTGGAACTAAACTCTGCAGGAAGGTCTCCAGGACCAGGGCTGGAGGCTGCTGCTCTTCCTATAGTTAACATAATCTTCCCACCAACCCTCGTCCTGGAGAGCTACTGTCCTGCAGAGTTTAGTTCCAACCAATCAAAGCCTTCTGAAGAAGGCAGTTATCTGGAGCAGGTGTGAAAGACTGTGGTTGAAACTAGACTCTATGGCAGTGATCTCCAAGCCTGGTCCTGGAGACCTTCCTGCAGAGTTTGGTTCCAAGGTGTACTATAAGCTGCCCCACCCCTTACTAGGCTCTAATACATTTGACCCTGCTGATCAGGGACTTGGGAAGATGTTAATTAGCTGGAGCAGGTATGGCAAATTGTGGTTGGAACCAGGCTCTGCAGGAAGCTAGATCTCCAGGACCAGTGTGGGAGACCACTGCTCTGATTATTAGTCTTCCTATAGTTAACATAATCTCATACAGTGATTATGTTAACTATAGAGACCTGGAGACCTACCTTTCTACAGAGTTTAGTTCCAACCAATCCAGTTATCAGGAGCAGGTGTGACAGACTGTAAAACTAGACTTTATGGCAGTGGTCTCCAACCCTGGTCCTGGAGGCCTTCCTGCAGAGTTTAGACCCAACCTGTATCCTCTAAGCTGCCCAGCTCCTTTCTTAACTCTAATACATCCGTTCCATCCAATCAGGGGCTGGGGAAGAGATTAATTAGCTGGAGCAAGTGTGGCAAATTGTGGTTGGAACTAGGCTCTGCAGGTAGATCTCCAGGACCAGGGTTGGTGAACGCTGTCATAATAACTCAAATGGTTCTAGACTTCAGGTTCTCTGAAAAAAAATCATTGATATACAACCTTGACATTATGTGGAAGTTCAGTTATCATTCACAAAAATGGTCACCAAAAGAGGTTCTTCTATGGCAGTGATCAGTTTACTGAAGATCAACTTTCCTGCACAGTTCAAGACCCACTTACATGTAACATGCTGCCACCTTAATTAGCATTAATGCATCAGTCAGTCAAGAACGTCTGAAGAACTCAATTTTTTTTAGTTGGAGCAAGGTTGGACAATTTTTTGGAACTAGACTCCATAAGAAGGTCATCAAGACCAGGGTTGGTGAACAGTGCTCAATGCCATCACTCCAAATAACCTTTGTTGGAACCTGTAGGGTGTCACCGGCCTCATCTTGGAGATAAACTTTGCTGAAGTGTTTCGTTCCAACCTGCATCAAACATGCTGCTGCTTTACCTTACACTGAATACAAATGATCCAGTCAATTGAGAACATGTGAAGAACCTAATTAGCTGGAGAGGTTTGTGGCAGTTTGTGGTCAGAATAAGACTCTGCACAAAGGTAGATCTTCAGGACCAGGGCTGGTGACCACTCTTCAATGCCATTACTCCAAAGCACCCTTTTTGGCACCTGGAGAATGTCACCAACCTTTCCAGAGAGATTAGGTCAGTGGTCTCCAACCCTGGTCCTGGAGATCTAACTTCCTGTAAAGCCTGGTTCCAACCACACCAGCTCCAGCTTATCAACCTCTTCCCAAGTCCCTGATTGTCTGGTGTGGCAGATTGTTGATGGAACAGGACTCTTACAGGTAGATCTGTAAGATCAGGGTTGGTGCCAACTGGTGTAGATTATCCTCTAATAGTTAAGACAACCTCAGCTCTACTTTGCTTTGAGGAAACTGATGCACTCGTATGTCATAACAGGATGTTCAAAGGCAAAGAGGAACGTTAGAAAATAAATGAAGAGTAGATCGATGCTTATATTCGCATGCAGCTCAGCTTCTCACAGGATGGGGCTCAAATTGTGCTGACAGTCAGTGAATGATTGAGGGGAGAGAAAGTAACCATTATACAGAACATTTTCCAGTAGAAGACGGCGAGCCACCCAAAGAAATACTTTTACTTCGGTTCCAAGGCTTAAATCTCCCTTTTTCCATTGAAAGGATGGAGGCTGGCCTTGGACTGAGGTGATCACTGAGGTGTTCTCCCACTCAGGAACAACTAGGGGTCCAGACTGTAGAACTGGACCCTGTCTAGGTTCACTAAGTAGTGCAGTGGCCATACATGCATGTTGTCCATTTCTGCTTCCGCCTGATTCAGCTAATCAGTGGATGTAGAAGCCCGACTGCTAGAATGGAACAAAAATTGTGGCAAAGATTAATCAATGACTGGACTGGGAGTCACTGAATCTCTGTTCTAGGACAGTTTGTATCGTAGTGAAATGTAAGGAAGGTGCAAGATGCGATATTATGCAAGGAAATCTGAATGATAGATCTTTCCAAAGACTGAAAAGGGTCTTAACTGATATTACAAACTGCAAAGTGGTTTGTTCGGAAGTTACAGTCTTTCTCTCTTATAAGCTGCACTTGCGTACCACACCAGGAAAATACAGCAGTAGTGTGACCAGTTGCTCTTAATACCTCAGAAATACCTCTCTCATGCTGAGGGAAACTCAAGTTAGGCATTTCTTCTAGCAAATAACTGGCCAGGTCTCACAAATCATGTGTGTGGAGGTGTTTCCATACACAGCAATGTAAAGCATTCTCAGTAAAACGGCTTCTGCGGCTGATGCTTTGCTGTCCTGTGCTAGAAGGACAAGCCACGTTTATTGGGTGTCCAAGGAAGAGGCAAGACATAACAGCATCTCTTCATGTTTGATAGCCGCAGCCAATCAGAGCAGCTTCGCTCAATCTCAATCTCACAAAGTTATTCTGGATTCACATGGCAATGCTGGACTGGTCAGGGCCCAAAGTTTTATTATACACTTCTATAACCTACGAATAGCTCATCCTGTCTGCATTAAAGTGCCTGTAGTTAATGAATAATAAGCCTCCTTAGTATGTAAAAAAATCCGGGGATTTTAAGGGTTAAAGTCAACCTGAAATCAAAATTGACCTTTTTCAGACTGTTAGTTCACTTTGCTCATTATATTAAACATGATTTGTTACAAAATACCATTTAAAAGTATCAAGACAGCAAACAAAATTCTTCCTTTTATTAATATTAACCAATAATATCATGTCTCACCTGCCCCTCCACCACCTATCATCGAACAAAATGCGCAGCTGGCTTGGAGACTTTCTCTGATATCCTACTTTACTTGGAAGTATGTCGCAGTATGGATGGAAAACGTGTTATGATTTCCAAAGTCATGTTGACTTTAAGAAGCCAATCTGGTGCTTCTATTGAAAACCCCGTCGGTAATCATTGCAGCATGGAGGGTGAGTTTTAGGACCTTAATAACAGGCTTTGGAATAACTAAAACATTATACCAAAACATGATTCATCCCAATTCCTTGTGCAAAAGCCTGTGCTTCTAAAAGGGAACATACACTCTTAAGAAAGATGCTTCTTCAAGGGTTCTTTAGTAAAGGTAGAACCATTAGGTGTGTATAGAACCATTGCATGCTTCATTTTTTCTTTGCATGGTGAGATGGTTCTTCAGACTGATGGAGAATGTGTTGTGCATGGTTCTATATAGCACCAAAAAGGGCTTCTCTACTGTTATGATGTCAAGCTTGCAACCATTTTCAAAAATGTTCTATACAGAATCATATACAACACGTTCTCCATTAATCTGAAGAACCATTTCACCATTCAGAGCACCCTGAAATGGTTCTATAGATAACTCATGATTCTAAATAGCACCATTCCCTTTACTAAAGAACTCTTGAAGAACAATCTTTTTAAGAGTGTAGTTTTTTTGCCACACTGCACAATCAGCATGTTATAAACATTGCTTAACTGGAACTAAATGGAGTTATGGAATAACTGGAATCTGGGGGGAAGAACCACGCCTGAAACCCCTCCTCTTTCCAGTCTAAAGCCCAATAAATTCCCATCTATACCTTCCGTTTCCCATAGTGAAGTCTTAGCACTCCCCCTCTCCTCCCTGTTCATTAGTCCCATGTTAGTCCTACCACAGGGGGGGGCGATGGATCTGGCCTTCTAACTCCAAGCAGAAGCTGCCCAGACCTCCAGCCACAGTTCTCAGAGTTCTCTCCCCTCCCTCAATCAGTCTCCACTTATACTACCACCATATGTTGAAGGCATGGGGCCAACTCGTGAAATGTATGCAGCACGGTCAGTGTTGTGTACATACTGTGAGCAGTTACTTCACCAAAGGCTTCATAGACTCATGGTTTCAAAGCTGCTGCCACCTACAGATTACTACACATTACTACAAACCTTTGTCGCTGGTTCTCAGAAAAAATCCATATACTCTCACAGTAAAAAAAAGGAAATCAGAGACTGAAGAAAATGTTAGTGGAATGATGATAAAATCAAATGTTCCATTGACATTAGCATGCTGCCAGGTGACAGCGGAATAAATTATGTCCGACTTGAGACCCTTAAAGATTTCCCTAGCAGTTGTTCAGCACTGAACATTTTTAAGCACCTGATGATAAATTTATGAACTGAATGAATTGAGGAGGTGTGAATGTTTTAGGCCACGACGTTGACACACGGCTTAATATTTTGACAAGTGGATATACACAGGTACTAAAGAGATTAATTTCCCAGACCTAATGAAAAAGGAAGGCGAAGCCCGACGAAGTTCAAATTG